TTATATATTGAAATTAAAGCTTTATTAAGAAATACCCAGTTCTAAATTCACATGAGAAACCAAAAATTAAGACAGAAAAACCCTATAAATATGCTTTTTCATGCTAAAAACGCTCCCCTTTAGACATAAAAAAAAATCCTGCTGACTTATTTATAACACATCAATTTTATGACATATAAATCCTAGAAAGAAACAATCAAATGCCAGAATCTAAGAAATTCTGTGTAATGTCTAAGGAGAACAAGACTGTCCTCCGTTTTCTTGGATTTCTCAATTTTTTCTTTTCAATGAACAAGAATTCATTTGGAGTCAATAATGCAAAATAAAATTTTTAGAAGCAAAGGAGGTAATCTACATCTGTCTCCTCTTCCCCAAGCCTAGTACAAGTGTATGTAATTTCCACACAAGCATAAAATTTAATGTCCAAGCTCAGAAACATTAATGGCCCAAACAGCAAACATGAAGCAAGTGGGGAATTCACGAGTTCAAAGGTGAAACACTTTGTAGTGATGACATGGCAGAACTGGCTATAAAACTCTACAATAAGGGTCCAAACTGATAGAGGCCCAGGGCAGAAAACAGTAACCTGAAAATCATCTGTTCTCTACTTTTATACATAGATTACTTCTTCGCATAGGTTGTGCTTTCAATCTAAGGTAAACATAAATGTGTACTTTGTGAATGGATCTGAATTTTATAGTAGGAAATTAACCTGGAGTCACACTAATCAAATCATAAATCATGACACATTCAATAAAAACCCCAAATATCTCTGGTCCTGAAAAGTAAGGAAAAGGAATATTTGTGAAATAATAATCATCCTTCCCTGGCAGATTCTGCTGAATCAACTACCTGTGGGTTCCCTGAAAAATAAAGAGAAACTCTGGACTACATTTATGGAAAAACAAATTCATGACTTCCACAGGCTTAGTAAGAAATACAGCAGGCTCTAAGTCCTGACAATCCCCATATACTAAATAATAGATTAAAAAAAAAAGATTCCGCGCCGGGCGCGGTGGCTCAAGCCTGTAATCCCAGCACTTTGGGAGGCCGAGGCGGGTGGATCATGAGGTCGAGAGTTCGAGACCATCCTGGTTGACATGGTGAAACCCCGTCTCTACTAAAAATACAAAAAATCAGCTGGGCATGGTGGCGTGTGCCTGTAATCCCAGCTACTCAGGAGGCTGAGGCAGGAGAATTGCCTGAACCCAGGAGGCGGAGGTTGCGGTGAGCCGAGATCGCGCCATTGCACTCCAGCCTGGGTAACGAGAGCGAAACTCCGCCTCAAAAAAAAAAAAAAAAAAAAGATTCCAAATATGTTTGTTTTTCTAAATTTATAGAAATGTTGTCCTTTAACTTTCCTTTGTACAAGTTCCTCTCCTTCTTTTTAGCAGTTAGGTACTAATGATGAGCAACCTGGGCACACACGTCTGCCATTAATGGCTTTCTTTTGAGCTGGGCCAGCAGCCACCTCAGCTGTGGATAGGTGAACATTGTCTTTTGCTTGTAACTTTATTTGAAAGTAGTAATTACATCAAAGAGTAGGTAGTGACCTATGAAAGAATCACTGGAAATAATAGATTAAAATGTAATACTGTTTGTCAGAAACATTACCCTGACCACAGAGTTTTGTTATGGATGATACGGATGATGAAGTGTGACACTGAATGAAAAAAAATACCCTTGAATGTGAGCTCTTTCTTGCTTAACCTAAAATATCTAAACTATCACCTTTATTTTTTCTTTTCACTCTCTGTATGACGTATCCACTTACTAAGCATGTGCACACCAATGTGTTTTTGTTTTTTTATTTTTTTCAATTATACTTTAAGTTCTGGGGTATATGTGCAGAATGTGCAGGTTTGTTACATAGGTATACACATGCCATGGTGGTTTGCTGCACTCATCAATCTGTCACCTACATTAGGTATTTCTCCTAAGAGACATTTTTTGAGATGGAGTCTCACTCTGTTGCCAGGTTGGAGTGCAGTGGCGCGATCTCAGCTCACTGCAACCTCCGCCTCCTGGGTTCAAGCAATTCTCCTGCCTCAACCTCCTGGGTAGCTGGGATTACAGGTGCTCGCTACCACACCTGGCTAATTTTTGTATTTTTAGTAGAGACAGGGTTTCACCATGTTGGCCAAAATGGTCTTGATCTCCTGACCTCGTAATCTGCCTGCCATAGCCTCCCAAAGTGCTGGGATTACAGGTGTGAGCCACTGCGCCTGGCCCACACCAGTATGTTTTTAATCATCTTGCCGATTTGCTTAGTTAATACAGTAGTGAATTTTAAAAACTCGCTTGTGATAGAAATTTAAGTAATTATTTTTAGTACTTTAGAACTATCTTGGGAATGTTTGCATCAGCTCCTGAGGTTTTCTGGAGAAGAAATATTCAGGGAAAAGAGTACTGTACACTGAAAGAAAAATGGTACCAGAATTTAAATGTGTATTTTTAGGTTTCCCTTTTTCAATAACCTATTTATCTTCTGCTACTTTTTTTTTTTTTTTTTTTTTTTTTTTTTTGAGACAGAGTCTCGCTCTGTCACCCAGGCTGGAGTGCAGTGGCATGATCTCAGCTCACTGCAACCTGCCTCCTGGGATCAAGCAATTCTCCTGCCTCAGCCTCCCGAGTAGCTGGGACTACAGGTGCACACCACCACACCCAGTTAATTTTTGTATTTTTAGTAGAGATGGGGTTTCACGATGTTGGCCAGGATGGTCTCAATCTCTTGACCTTGTGATCCATCCGCCTCGGCCTCCCAAAGTGCTGAGATTACAGGCGTGAACCATCACACCCGGCCTATCTTCTGCTATTTTTAAGTGACAACTCATAATAAATGGTGAACCTATTTTAGAGATAGCGATGTTTTAGGGACATATTCATGTAGGGTGAATATAAATTAATGGCCTTAGGAAAAAATAAGTTAATTTTCTTATAACACATGAACTTACGGTAGGCAACAACAAAAGAAATGGATTAAGAGTTATTTCGATTACTGGAAAAAAAATAATTTATCATCATGGGGGAAAAGGTCAAGCAGACATTGCAGTTAACAGACAGTGGAGCTCCAGAAATAAACAATTAAATGATTAAATAAATGGAGAACAAGTCAAGAGAACAGTGTGAAAATGAACCATGTACCATCCACCACCAACACAACTCAAAACAAGAGTGCTTAGTCTACTCCATGGCAAAAATCTCAGAGTAAATAATATATTTTAGGAACTTGGTCATTAAATCTTAGGTTCAAATTCCACCTCCCTTCCTTACTTCTGACTTGTCTACATCCCTGGGAGTATCCCTTAACCTCAGTTTGCTCATCTAAATCAGGATTGCTAGATTTTAAGGCCTTGCTCATGACTGTCACCCCCAGTCCTGCATTTTTCTTCCTCACCACACCTTCCCCTTCATGTTAGCTTGAACCCTGCTCCAGACTCTGTAGTGCTGCAAGCATACCCCTGCACCTTGCGTCCTCCCTCACCTGGCCACTGCCTGCTGCCTTCCTCCTTCTACCAAGGGACTCACAAAAGGGAGTCTGATTCAGGGATCTGAGTGGTCACTGCACAGGTCACCTGATCATTTTACCTGGTTGGACCCGCCACTCTGGTAAAAGTGCTCTGGCAAAACCTACCACCGAACACCTAGTTGGGAAATAAAACAGCTGTTTCATTCTCACCTTCCCTAAGCTTTCTGAAGCAACTAGCACTGCTGACCTTTCTCAAGTTCTTAACTACTTTCTTCCTTGACTTGCCAGAAATGAGTCTTTCTTTGTCCTTTTTCCACTTCGCTGACTTTGCTTTCCTGGTGACATTCCCTCACTCTGTTGTCCTTAAGGATGTTTTTACCCACAAAGTTCTAGTCTTGGGCCCAGTTTTTAAATTGTAAAGTCCATAAATTTTTCACAGATGATCTAACACTTTACACCTACATCTCTTTAAAGTGTTTGTTTGTTTGTTTAAATAGGGTCTTACTCTGTTGCTCAAGCTGGAGTGCAGTGGCACTGATCACAGCAGCCTAGACTTCACAGACTCAAGTGATCCACTAGCTTTGGCCCCGCGAAGTGATGGGATTACAGGTGGGAGCCACTGTGCTCGGCCTTCTTTTAATTTTTAGTGTTGAGACAACTGAAGATTCACACGTAGTTGTAAGCAATAATACATAGAGACCTCAAATACCTTTCATCTCAGTGGTAGTATCTTACATATTTATAGGACAATATTACAGTCAGGAAATTGACATTGATACAATCAATCTATATTATTCAGTGCTCAGCAGTTTTACATGCATGCATTTGTGTGTGTGTGTTTGGTTCCATGCAATTTTATCATATGCATAGATGATACGATACACCCACATTCTGACTCCCATTCCGAGGCCCCAAACTGGGCTCTCATCATTCTGGGGAGAGGGGTGCTTAAGTAAGAAATACAGCAGGCTCTAAGTCTGACAATCCCCATATACTAACAAAAGGACTCTCTGCTATGAGCAGAGCAAATATAAAACTGTAAGAAATAAATTTCCATCTCTTTTTATGACGTTCTCCTAACTGGGAACAATCTATGAGCTCCTTTCAACACCTGCCCAACGTGCTAAATCTGGCTTAAGTCCTTCTCTATGGAAAGCCCTCATGGTGCTACCTACCAGTCCACAATGAGTCCTTCTGGACTTCACTGTGTGTTTTCCATTAGATGTAAAGCTTCTTGAGGATAGAAAATGAGCCTTTTTTTGTGAGCTCCATGGATCTGAGACATACCTGTCTTCAATAATACAAAAACCATTTGAATTACTAAAATGGGAAAACAAAGAAGAGGAGAAAAAAAATAGAAAAAAAAAAAAAAAAGAAGAAACAAGGCACAATTTGCCATCACAGAGGACTCCAGGAACTAGGATTTCAACTTTATCATAGATTTTTTTAAAAATAGTACAGAAAGCATGAACAAAAGGCTAAATCCTTCCTTTTCCTTCCCACAAGATTTCATACTTGAAAGAATACTCACCCTCTTCAACAGTCAGCAAGTTCCCCAATTCTGCCGATGTGTGATACTGGACCGGCTCAGAACTCTTCACGTTTGCCAGTGGCAGGAAGGGGTCATAATCCGTGGATGACAAGTCAGCCAGGGTCAGTGTGTAGTGACTCTGTTGGGTGTATGTGCTTGAGCCACACACACAGCAGTGCAGAACCTGTGAAAACAGAGGCCATGTGCACCATGGATGCTACCTACCTCATGTCCTCTGACAGTCTGTCAGAACTACTGTAGCACTTAGCAGCTAGGACTCCTGCTTGGTAAAACTTGAAAACATTGCTTATTTCCATTCTTAAATACTTCTTGCTATTGGCAAATTTATTTTGATTCTTTCATGTCAATGCCAAGAAATATGTTTCAAGGCAAAAGAAAAGTAAAAGTTAAAAAGTTCTTGTCCACATTCTGTGTGATTGCACACACCTAAGCCCTGCTCCTGTCCACCAAAGGCAACACAGGTAGAAGGAACTAATCAGGGGATGAAGGGTAGTGGTGGGATGGGCCAGCCACGGTGGAGGGTAGAATGAGCACAACAAGCAGAGACCATTGGTGCATGTTATGACCAGTCATGAGTTTAAATTAGTATTACTCATGACAGCGTGAATTATAAGGGCTAACTTAATACAATTTTAAAATTATTCTTACTTTCAGAAGATTAGTTTCCTGAGAGTTGACTGTTTTTTTTTTTTTTTTACAAATTGCAGTTGATTAAAGATCTATCTACTCATTTGAGCTTTTGTACATATATAAGACATGCAAACACAAATCATCTTGAATATGCCAAATGCATAAATGAAGTAATAATTTTAACTGATTTCCCTTTGTAATCATAAATTCAAGATAATAAACTCAAAACACTGATTTTTATAAGAATCAAGGTAATACCTGAGAAAATAAGAAAACACCATTGGGTTAAATATATTTCTGTAAAGTAAATTCACTTTTAGATGACTAGCTTTGGTTTGCTGACATGGCAAGAGGCCTTGTGGTCAGGTACCCCTTGTACACAGCTACAAAGTACAAAGAATTATAGTTGTCAGGGCAACCACTTGAATATGTCCTCTTCCTAGCCAAAAAAAAAAAAAAAAAAAAAAAAAAAAATGCAGTATAGGGAAATCGTTACGGCAGCTCTCTTATTAATGTAAAAATTGAGCTGCAATCACTGAGATAATTAATTTCTAGTAGCCAAAATGTAATAAATGTAGGAAATGCACATGAAAGTCACATGTTCTGTGTAAACTAGCACAACTACTTTGGAAAATTATTTGGTGTTCCCTACTAAGGCAGAATACATGTACTCTAGCAACTTCACTCCTAGGTATACACTCAACAGAAATGCATATGTATTTGCACAAAAAAACCTTCAATATTCACATTTTATTGGTCCAAAACTCTAAACTACCCAAATGTCTATGAACAGTAAAATGGATATATTATGGTTTATTCTGTGTAATACTATATATCACTAAGAGTGAACAATCTACAACCCTTCACAACAGTTTGAATAAATCACTCAAAAATAATGTTGAGCAAAATATGTCAGACACAAGAGGACATACTGTATGATTCAATTTGTATAAAGTTCAAAACAGGCATAACTACTCTGCTCTGTTAAACAGGATAGTGGCTATCCCTGGACATGTGAATCAGGCCAGGCTAGCAGGAGGCACAGAGAAGGCTTCCAGGATGTCAGGAATGTTCTGTTTCCTGATCTGGGCTCTGATTTTACAGGCATGCTCACTTGGTAAAAATTCATCAAGCTTTCACTTACAGACTGATGCAGTTTTCTGGAAGCATATTGTACTTCATTTAAAAGTTTACTTTTAAAATACAAGAAAATCCCAGTTATTGAGTAAATTTATTAATTATGTTTACTAGGAGGTAACTTTTATATTGGTAAAGCAATTTTAAGAGAAATCTTTAAGAAAAGAACAAACTCAGAAAAGAGATTTACATAAGTGATTGTGGCTAATGTAGTTGGCCCAAACCAAGCTCTGTACAGGTTTATGAGCCACAAAAATAACAGAAGTATCTAATTAATCCTGCTATAGTTATTAAAATCTTTGACCACTGAAGAAACCAGTTAAGAATACACAAATACTTTTTAGTAGAATTTCAACCACAATTAGGTGTTTTTATTTTTTATTTTTAAAAACTGAATACTTTTAAAAATAAGGCAATAAAAGTAAATCAGTCTGTGACTTGGACTTTTTTTTATTATTAAAGGTTTGTTACTAAAAGAATAAACCACAGAATTTTCCCTCCATGATAGTAATTATTCAGTGGACATGCAAATGCTAAACAAACAAACGGTCAAGGTTTGAGAGAGACTGTTAAGACAAATTACAGAGGATATTACAAGTAATCCAAAGCAAATGCCACACCTAGTCATCAGTGTGTACCTGTGTGGGGCTAAGGGCTGGAGGGCTAAATAAGAATATTTTAAATGCTGTAAAAATGATGAAGCTAATTACTTTGATGTGACATAGTTCCTTAATTTATTTCTTAAGATTTTTTGAGGCAAAATGATTACTGAGACCATTAAACCTTTTCTTCCTTTGATAAACAGATTTTGTCAAACTAATGCTGTATACAAATATGCAGTCAGATAAAAGAAATAAGACAGTAGGGTGACTACAGTTAACATTAATCAACTGTACATTTCAAAATAGCTAGAAGAGAATAATTCCAGTGTCCCTAGCATAAAGATAAATATTTAAGATAGACATCCCAATTATCCTGATTTTATTACGTAAATGTATCAAATCATCAAATGTACCCTGAAAATATGCACATCTAATATCCATCAATAAAAGCAAATTAATTTTTTTTAAAAAGCTCTTTTACCCTAGGGAAAAAAATTAATGTAGAGAACCCTATAATGTGAACAGTTCTTTTTTAAATTAAGTAAACACAGACCATGTTCCATGAAAATTGAAGAATTCTGACCAAACTGAGGTTGTTTAAAGATTAAAGATGACAGTCATGTGAAATGCACACATCTTTACCTTGGTAACCACTGTTTCTTTGTATCTGTTCTGTTCTGCTTTCAGTCCTTAAGTTATTTACTTTTCTTTTCTTTTTTTTTTTTTTTTTTGATACAGAGTCTTGCTCTGTTGCCAGGCACCAGGCTGGAGTGCAGTGGCACGATCTCGGCTCACTGCAACCTCCGCCTCCCAGGTTCAAGCAATTTTCCTGCCTCATTCTCCCAAGTAGTTGGGACTACAGGCGCACGCCACCACGCCCAGCTAATTTTTGTATTTTTAGTAGAGACGGGGTTTCACCATGTTGATTGGCCAGGATGGTCTCGATCTCTTGACCTTGTGATCCGCCCGCCTCAGCCTCCCAACGTGCTAGGATTACAGGAATGAACCACCACGCATGGCCAGTTATTCACTTTTTAAGAAAAAGTTTAAGTCACAATAAATCCTTTTCAAACGGGCAATATATATATAAGTACATGCGTAAAACATATTTTGGTGATTCTCTGGCATATAAGCCCACACTCCATTCCCCAGGCCCAGGTGGAGACTCACCCTGTAGATATAATCCAGTAAGGGGGCTCTGGCTGAGTGCTGCTCCTCTAGGACTGCCGTGGACACTGGGTGGAGAAGGACACTCAGAGGCAATGCCATGCACCAGTCCAAGAGGCAGAGTAGCAAGGACACAATAAACTGGAAGAAGAACATGCCTGGTAACTTATGCTGTAGTCTCTGAAACCTCACTACATTTAATAATAAACAAGACAATTGTCCCTACCTATAGTAGTTACTCAATGGACATACAGATGCTAGATAGGCAGGTAAGTAAGTAAATAAAAAAATAGCATTTTCACAGAAAAAACTGTGAAGGCCAATGTAGAAGAATATTACAAAGGATATCACTAGTTGTAACACGGTTTATCACTCTACCTTACATTACAATTTTAAAAAATCTAGGAAAATCTTAACTCATGTGCCACCTACCTTCTTGTCTGTTTCCACTGAGGAGTACTCTGCACTTGGTAAAAGAAAAGCAATTGTGGCCACAAGGATCTGCATAAAAGATAAATGCCCAATCAAGCAGACAACATTAATAGCGTTGTAAGCCTATGTCAGGAGTCCCACAATGACTCTGCAACTAAACCCCACTTGGTGCCAACTCATCAGAGAAAGGTGAAACAAAGCAGAGGGCCAGCTGTGTGGTAATCTTGAAAATTAAGAGAAGGCTATGGGGCCACATCTAGTTTCTACACTACTTTACCGGTGGAAAAATTGGGGCGGTGGGGGCGGGGGTGAGCAGAGAAAAGACTATTTCTCTCTGCAGTCACATAATTCTTAACATCAGTCCCCACAGTTTTCACAGTGAAGTAAAAAATACTTTCAAAAATAATTATGAAAATGCTCCCATTTAATTTTATTATAAATTACCCTAAGTCTCCACCTGCTGTCCTGGTGTAAACAGCATCCCTTTCATTCTCAAAAGCAGTCCCATTTAGAAGACAAATTACATCATCACCCCAAAACTCTACTTTCCATTTCAGAGCATTTTATGTTCCCATGCCCAAAGTTCCAATTCACTCCAGGTCACTTCAGGTCAAAAATAACTTGTGCCTTTTAATGTATCTGAGAACAAAGTGATCTTTCCAGTGAAATTTGTCTAGGGCTGAGAGAATATAAGTCAATATCACTTCTGTCTCCTTGTAATGCTTCATAAGGACAAATTAAATTTCCTCGAACTGTTAACATTGGATGTATAAAGAACAGGGCATGTTTTAAAAGTGCAGCTATAAAAATCAGCAGTGGAAGTGCCTTATCCCACAAAGACACCTGTGGGAGTGAAGGTGCCTGCTCGTGTACAATCAAAGCACACTTGGATGCAAGCAGCCTTCAGGATATGACTGTTGAGACAATTCTTCCTATTCTTTCCACCCTCTCTCCCACCAGTTACCCCACAGAGGTTATCATGGTAGCAGTCTCATTACAGCCAGTAATCATGCTAGGGCAGAAAGTGTGGTCCAGAGCTTTAGTCTGGGACAGACTTCTGTTTTACACAACAGCCACCCCCCTGCACCCTTCATGGAGGGCATCATAACCAGCTGCCTACTCCTTGTTGGCACCATCCAAATTGCTCTTGATGAATGAAGCCCAATCTACAAAAGGTCTCTTTGTTGTGGTAGTGCCTGCCTTTCAAACTCCCCAACTATAAGCCTCTGCCTGGAACACTGCTGGCTTCTTTACATTGTGTCTGAAATCATAGCTGAGAAGAACCAGTCTAACTTAATCTTAAAACGAGTGACTTGTGGCAATTTAATAGTCAGTTCTCTAACAATCATTTGAATATCTATAATTAATTAAATATCAAATACAATAAAAAGGAAATGCTTATGTTTTAGTATTACAGAAAAAAAGACTTACTTCTGCCATTTTCCGAGGCAGAGCAGTTTCAAACATCTGAAGCTTCTCCCAGTAGGAAACCAGCAACTGAAGCACATCACAAGCTACCTGGGCCACGATTTTGTTAGGAAACTATAAAAGGAACAGAATCCCAAAGCAGATACATAACTTAACAGCTGCATCATTCTTAAGAAAAAAATAGTTATTTCTTCCCAGTTCCTTACAGATTACATTTATCTGTTTTGCCTCAAATTGATGAAAAATATGTCTGTCCTATTACCAGAGAGTTTAGACATCATCACATCACCATTCTAAAACTGCCTCTTCTCTGGACTCATTGTGTTAATTTACATAATGTGCTACAGGAACAAGGAACTTTCGTTTAACTATTTAGAAATTAAAACCATTACTTCAAATTTCTTATTCAGCTCACATAAGTCATATTTTTTAAAACAAGAGAAAATTCAACTGTACCCCCAGTGCGCTGATCCTTTTAACAGGATTTTACTCATTCGCTCACTGATAAATCTTCACCGACAGCTCTGCAAGGTAGATGTTATTTTCATTTTACACACGGAGAAACGGGGATTGACCAAATGACTTTCTATCCTATGAAATAAAACTTGACTTGTATGTATAACAAACTAAAAATGGGTAAAATTAGAGTGTAGGAGAAGATAACTAATGGATTATGGTATACTCAATTATTTTGCATCTATTTCCGGAGGCTGGCATGCATCTCAAGTCACCACCAAGGTCTGGATGCTTCCATTTATTGTGAGGCAGCATGTCTAAGGGCAGCACCTTCAAGGTCTTAGTTTTTCATGCTGGGAGGGCATGAAGGGAAGAGGGTACCCTCTGCTTTTCTCCCTGGCCAGACCACGGGCTATACCATTATCCATATCTCATTATCTAGAGTGGAAAAGGTTCATCACTGACCCTAGTCTAGGGACACCTCACTCTAAGCCACATGAAGCAGACACCATCGATGTTTGGTGCCCCACAGACAAATATACAGAATAAGGAAGAAGGTGAGGGAAAGGTGATCATTTTAATTCTGCAGAATAAACAATGACTGACTACTCCTACCTGAGAGGCACTAGCTAAACCCTGGGCTGTAGTAGTTGCACTCAGGGGCTCTTCACAGCCTTCCCTGGCCACAGAGACCCCATATCCCAGGTGACCCGATTTCCACTGGCCTTGTTCCATCTCTCAAACACTCTGGCTTGCTTCTGCCCCATGGCCTTTGCACCTGCTCCTTCCCAACTTTACTTGGAACACTTAATCCCCAGTCTGCATGTGGCTTGCACTGTTAGATCTTTCAAATTGTGGCACAAAAATTTCATCTCCCCGAGGCCACCATACCTACCTAAGAGCTGAGTGGCAGCCCACCCCTCTTAGCTCTTCAGCTTCATCCTATTCCCCTATTAGATTTCCTTCATGGCATTACAGGCTATCAGAGGTGACCTTTTGGTTTGTTATTTTCCTGCATATATTGTTCACTGCTGTATCTTTAATGCCTAGCATGGACCCTCTAAGGATATGTGGTATGCTTAAGGTGAAGTTGAAACTCTGAAGGAGTGGGAGAACATGAGTGGGCACTGTGTGTGTTGCTGCTCTACCACAGTGGTGGAGTCACCAGGTGGAAAGATAAGGCTGGCAAAGCTCTGAACTCAAGAAGCTGGAAACAGACTAGGGAAAACTGTAGGAGTTGACAAATAAGACAAAAAGCTATGGACAGAGAGGGGTAGGACATGGGACTTGGGGGAGAACAGGCGGAGAGAAGGGATCATGGAGGGAGAAGAGAGCTAAGCTGCACCTGAAAGAATGCAAGTGGGGATTTGGGATCTCCTTCCAGGCATGAGTGGCAGGGCCCAGGCACCAAGGTAAGGAAAGGTTGGTCAGATACAGGGGGCTGCAAGCAGGGTGGTGTTACTGACATGTGATGAAGGAGGTGGGGAATGATGGAGATGAAATAAGCCATTAATTTGCTCTCTCACTCATCCAGTATACAGAGTACATACAAACAGAGTACCGACAGAGTGCCATGCTGAGCACTCCAGCCTGTGGGCTGTACTGGTAAGCCCATGTGTCGACAGATCACTCTGACAGTGGTATGAACAGTGATCTGTGGGGGTCTGCTGACTCTGACCAGGAGGCTCAGTATTGGCAGGGTGAGCTATGTGAGGGGAACTCGGGCAGTGGGTGGGATGGACCATGGGCATTCAGGAAGTACAAATGGCAGGACTCAAAGCCAGAAACAGCATTGGGGTAAGCAAGAGAAGGAAAGTCAGTGATGTCTCGGAAGACAAGGTGGGAGAAATAGCAGGGCTGGACAGCTCACAAGAGTTGGTGAGTATGGCTGTGGCTTAGCACCACCTCCCCCAACCACCCCATGCCCGCCATCCATCTGCTACCCCACCATAAACAAACCAGCCAACCAACACATTGCTAAGTGGAATGCTCTGCACATCCACAGACATACCTAGGTCACCCTTGCAGGGCATTTTTGAAGGGTGCTTATAAGCGAGGCGGTGCTGACTTTATGTGGAGCCTATAAAGCAGGAAGCCCTGCCGGGGTCTGTGCTCTCCACTACAGCCACCACTGGGAGAACAGGGGGCTCTAGGGGGCTTTGGGACTCTGCCAGGAGGGAGAGAAATGGAGAGAGGAGGCAATGGGGGCTTTTGCCCCACCCCCAGCCCAGCTCCAGCCTGATGTGTGGGTAGCGGAGCGCGCAAACCCAGGCAGGGCTCTTTCTCCATTCCTCTCCCTCCTGGCACAGCCCCAAAGCCTCCTAGAATCCCCTGTTCTCACAGTGGTGGCTGTTCTCCTTGTTCCATGTAGAAACTCTTTCCCTTCCAGTCCTCAGTTCTTCTATTTATGTGCTATGTCCTTAGGTAAAACAACCCAGTTGGCACAACAACACAAGAACTAGAGGGAGGCAAGGAAGGAGGGAAGGGGGGAGGGAGGTGCCCCCAGAGACCAGGACTTAAGTCAGTGAGTTTCCTGTTATTAATAATGGTTAAAGACAGAACAATTTGGCTGCATCCTGATCCCTCCACTTTCTTAGCAATTCAAGCTGGAGCCAGTTATTTGACTTTCCTCAGTCCTCTTTTGTTGCTATCCAGAGGGTGGGGATTCAAAGGACAATTTCCATGCTGTCCTGGGACAGCGAACAGAGTGAGAGCTCAATATGTGGTAACCACGTTGTTTTTCTGGTGTCCTGTATTTCCCCGCATAATCATAGAAAAGTTGCAGAAATTTGAGAAAATCTATCTATCCCTCTACTCTGTTATCAATTTCTATCTCTTTCCTATATTAGATAGAAATATATATATAGTTATGTACCTCCTAGCAATGTTTTGGGAAATAATCAGTAAGCACCACATATACAACGCTGGTCCCATAAACTTATACTGCTACATTTTTACTGCACCTTTTCTATGTCTAAACATGTTTAGATATACAAGTACTTGCCAATGTGTTCCAATTCAATATTTAGTTCCTACAGTATTCAGTATAGCAGCATGCTGCACAGGTTTATAGCCTCAGAGCAACAGGCCATGCCACACAGTCTAAAAACCATCTAGGTTTCTGTAATATTCTTTATGATGTTCACACAACAATGCAATCATCTACTTATACTTTTCTCAGAACGTATCCCCATCACTATGTGATGCGTGACTGTGTGTGTGTGTGTGTGTGTGTGTGTGTGTGTGTGTGTGTGTATTTCCTTCATTTGAAGACACCACTGAGTTATTAATAGTTTTTCCATGGAAGGGGCAGAGATGGGGGAACCACCTTACATTGACTATATACATCTAGATTTAAAAAAAATTAAAAATTTAAAAATAGATCTTAGAATTGAAAAGGGGTATTTAAAAATAAATTGGAATCCACATTGATATATAATTTATAGCCAACCTGTTTCCACTTTAATAATTATATGTAAATATTTCTCCATGGCTCTGGGAGTCAGGAGGTGTCCTGCACACCTCAGTTGTGCAAAACTCCATACATGTGGCCAGGGTGTTCTGGGTTTGGCTTTGGCAAGCTCCTTCGGCTCCTGGTCAGCTCATCTTCCTCATCTGTAAAGTGGAGGTGGCACTGACACTTCCCCTCATGGGATTAAACCAGCCGACGAAGGTCAGGGGTCGGCACCCTGCTCTGGCTGGAGGGGCACTCTTCTGTGATATTGTGGTTGGATCATTTCTCCATTCCTCATCACAGGGATCAGCAGCAAGTGTTTTTCCAGCTCCCAAAATACAACAAGCACCCCCACCTCCACTCCCAGGTGTTGTGGAAGAGAAATAGGGGAGGACGAGGCAATGGGGGTGGTCAGAGGGTGTACTTGGGGAACAAGAGGCATTGAGTTTGGTCAGGCAGGGGCCAGACGCCAAGCCAAGGGTGGGGGACACCACTAGCTGGTCATTCTGTGGGCAGACTCAGAAAACGTACAAAGGGTGGTAGAGCGGCTGTTGCTGACCTGATGGTGACTGTCCCAAGCTTTAGTGGCAAGCACCATTGCTATTAGAGCTGCATGTGGCAGGTGGCACAGAAGGGCCAGCAGCAGCCTCAGTGCTGGTGTTAGGTGGATGGCTCAGGGGTTGAACTTTGGTTCAGTGAGGTGGTCATTCTAGAGCCTTGAACAAGCTCCTTAACTCTCCTGTACCTCAGTTCCTCTACTAGGACACTGACCCCCGAACTAAGAACTTCCACAAAACCTTCAGCACAGCACCTGGCAGAGACTAGGCACTCACTGGTTCCCTAAGTGTGATAACGGCAATGCTATTTATTACCACCGTTTCCAAGCAAGAGCCAGGAAAGGACTCAGCAGGATTTGAGCTTTGGTTTAGAGGCAGCCTAACAGCACATGCGTATCTTTAATGCCACACAGATCTGCTTTTGTTGCTGGTTCCATCACTTATACCTGTGTGGCACTGGGCTTGTCACCTAATTTCTCTGGGCCTTGATTTCCTCTGGTACAAAACAGAAACTGCAACATCTATCTTGCAGAGCTGTTTTGAAGATTAACAGAAATATTTAGAAGTATTAGAAGTATTTAGAAGTATTACAGCTCGCCATTATTCTGACCTAGTGTGAGTGCCCAGTATTTCTTATTAGCAAAGCAAAGAGAGAAAGATGTCCTACAAGTGCTCAAGACTCAGCCAGATGGTAAACACTGGGGTCCTAACTGGAAGCTGTGGAGGCCTCTCCCAGGCCTGCTGAAGAAGCCAGAGCACATGATCTCACTCTCTTGTCACCTCCACCAATAGGTGACAGGTGTCCTCCTTGCCACAGGAGCTTCCCAGCCACCAGAGGAACCCCATTTGGCCACTGGTCCAGGAACACTGGAGGAGACACTGGCAGCTTGGCCACAGCTGCCAGCAGGGGAGCAGCCACTGGTGCCCCTCCCGGGAGCCTCATGGCACATTTACCACGGCTCTCAGAGAGAAATGGGACTCATAGTCCCTCTGCAATTGGGGGGAGGAAAAAGATGAGACTAATTCAAACTTAAACTGTTAAATGCCTGAGATATGGCTTAATATCCAATCGACACCACAAACTGGTAATACCTTCAGAGTTACTCCTATCACATTGATGGCCTCTTTCACCTGAGGGTGGCTTGTACACTGTGCAAGCTCTTCACATATCCAGACTCCAAGGGAGCAAATGGCAATGCATCTTTTTAAAAAGAAGAAAACAGAGGAAAATCCTCATGAAATTTAATATGCTTTCTCGGTATTTTCAAATAACACAACACTTTAAATCTATTTATACAAAATAGCAAAAATTACAAATCTATTAGCAGAATGTCTTCTTGAAAGAAAAGATAAAGAACCCTCAATAGGCCAGTTTTCAGGACAAACAGAAATACTGAAATAGTTTAGTACTTAAACATTTAACGAAACAAATGGCATATTTTCTGTTAATTGTCCCAGCCTGTACATCGCTTAGTTTTGTTGAAACTAATGGGCCATTACATTTTATTGTTTCAAGACATTTTTGAGGAATAAAAAACATCAATCTGAGAAAACTGTCAAAAAGTGAGTTTATAATTGTTTTCTTTACAATAATATGCACAATACCTACCACAAACAAAACAAACGCTATATTTTAAAGTATATTTAAATACAACTTTCAAAATAAATTTCACTGTTATTTTTTCCAAACGATGTGCTAGGACCAGATATTCTTCACAGAAAGCCAACCATGCCATACACATTTCTATTCTCCTTTTAACTCCATAGAAATTTGGCTTTCTACATTAAAGAAAGGGAAAGGAAGAATTGCCAAGACTTGATGGTTTAGATGCAGCAGGTGCAGGAAAAAGATGAAATCAAGGGTTTTCTCTAAATTTCTGAACTGAAAACCTGGGGAATGGTGGGGCCATGCGGTAAGATAAAATCTGAGGGACAGTCAGCTCAGTTATAGTTGTGTTAAAACATTCAAGTTGAGATGTCCAGTAGGCAGTTTAATATATAAGCCTGAATATAAAAGTGGCTCACTGAAGAGGTAAGTAAATAAATCAGCAAGAAGACGGTATTTAAAGGCCGATTAGAATAAGAGTGCCCAGGAAGTCATAGAGAGAACAGGCCCAGACCTAAACCCTGAGTCACTCTAACATTCATCAGAGGTTAGGTACAGGAGGAGAGTTCAGCAAAGGAGACAGAAAGGAGAAAGTTCAATGAGGCAGGTGCAAAATCAGGAAATTATGTTCTGAGGAACACGCATTGTTCAGGAAGAGAGTAACAAGAGACTAGCTGCAGACTTGGTAAGTATGCATGTTCAAATATCTCGTATAACCTCTAAAAGAATAAAAGGGGGCCTATGACTTATAAACAATTGTGGTAATAAATAGGATGGGAAAAAAAATCCAAGAAAGAAAGAAAGAAAGAAAAACAGGGGATGGGGAAATGAAGGCAAGATAAAGGAGAAAATAGATATTATACTTTATTTTAAATAGAAAAGAAAGATCCTATTAAAAATAAAGTATAAAATACAATAAAAGAAAAGCATTCAAACAGATCAGTAATTACAACAAATGTAAATGAACCTAAAGCTTCAGTTAAAAAATTAAGATTGGATAGGATAAAATTACAAAATCTGGATATATACAGTTTTTGCAAAAATATCTAAAAGAAGAATATAAAAAAGTTAATTAAAAGGAATAGAAAGTATTATTTAAAAATAGCTAAACCAATATCAAAGGGTCTTTAAGATAAAAAATTCCTCCTTAGAAATAAAGAGTCACTACAAAAATATAAAATATTTGTTTCACTATAGATACAGGACCATTCTAAACTTTTATACAACTAATCACATAGCCTCAAAATATATAAAAGAAAAATTGACAGTATATAAGGAGAAATACATAAACACATTATAATAGCAGGAGATTTTAACATTTTTCTTCCAGAAGGTGACTAAGCTGATGAAAAAAATCAGAAGGGGATACAAAATATCTGAAGCCTAGGATTTAAAAACTTAATCTAATAAACACGACTAGAAGACTACGCTCAACAAAGAACAGGGCATGCTTTTTTTTCAAGTTTATATGGGATATTGACAAAAACTGACTACCCACTGGGCAATTAATCAAATTTCAACAACATCAAAGATTGCTGTAAGATATTCTGATACACAATGCAATTAACGAAGACATAAGCAATAAAAAGACACCTATATAATTCAGACAAAGTAGTAACTAGAAATAAATACATAGTCTTAAATGTTTGTATTTGTAAAGGAGAAATTAATATACTAAATATATAACCTTACAGGTAAGAAAATAATATTTAACCTTAAAGGTAAGATTGTAAAGAAAGTAAAAGGAAGAACAGAAGAGAGGAGAAGGTGGGAAATAAGAGCAAATATAATACAGAAGTTGAACAAAGACAAAGTCTAGACTTTGAAAAGACTAATAAAATGGACAAATCTTTGGCAAAACTACTTAGGATACAGAAAACGTGTCAAAGATTAAAAAGTGAACATAACCACATAAGTGAAAGAGAGAAAAGGTAATAGAGCTAACTCATATACCAGTATATTTTAAAATTTAGGTGAAATGAACAAATTCCTAGAAACGTTTGGTTTATCAATACTGTCAAAAAGAAGAAGAAGAAGAAAACCTTAATAGTACTAAAATTATGGAAGAGAATGAGTCAGTGGTTAATCTTCTTATTAAAGGTAGTTGTACCATCAAGGTCTACTAACTACACAAGAATATTAACTCTAATTTTGCAAAAACTCTTTCTGACTAAAGAGAATGAAATTGTACTTAACTCATTTTGTGAGAGTTTATAACCTTATAATCAAACCTGATAAGGGAAGGATAGGGAAGGAAAATTATAGGCCATCAATATGGGACCTGAACAAAATATTAGCCAAGCCAGATCTTTAGGATAACCAAGTTGGGGTTATCCAAAAATGCAATGTTAGCTTAATATTTGCGAATTACGGCAGACCAGGAAATTTGGACTAACCCATCTATTGAAGATAACCAAAGAAATTGGACAAAATACAAAATGAAAAGCCCTGAAAATTATCAAATAGCTGATAAGGTAGTGATAACTGATGGGCTGCTGTCTTGGAATGAGACTACAGAGGGAGCAGGACATGAATCGTTCCTAGGAGGGAGTTAGGCTGAGCTGGCTTTCTGGTGACCTTATGGGATTTGACATTGAGGATCAGAGACAGGTGTTCCCCTCCATCAGCATTCTCAGCTTTGGTCTTCACCTTGGGAGAAGAGGCAGAAACTTTTTCATCATGTAAGTGGCCCAGAAAATCTCATATCTTGATAATAGGCTGCTAGCAATCTCAGTTGCCCGGCAGAAGCAACCAAAATGTTATCAGACACTGCCAAATGCCTTCTGGTGTAAAAGACCATCACTGGTTGAGAGTCACTACGCTATACATACACCATTGCTATAAATATTTGGTTTATATTTTTAGTTTTCTTTCTTCTTGAACATAAGATACATGAATATATTTGTAATCTTACTTTTTCTCACACAAAATAGTGTACTATGTATACTCTTTCGTACTTTACAATTTTCACTTAATAATGACACCTTTTGAAAATAATCATGCAAAGCATCTTCCTGGCATCACTCTTCCTATACTTTTCAGCCTGTATAAGAGTTATGTGAAAGAATAAGTGTTTTTTTGGTAACATTAACTACTTATAAATGTGTATCTTAAAATTCTAAAACAGTTTACCTCTTATTCAACATTTACCTTGCATATTCATTTGGTTCTTCTGTGGCATTCTTCAGTAAAATATTTATGAGGTAATGCTAAAAACACAAAATTAAGTAAAATAAAAACTTTGTGTCACAGTTGGTTTCCCACATGTTCTGACCATGTTCCAGGCAGCCAGGAGCTACTGAAGTTCGACCAGGGAGCTCAGGGAGCTCATCTATGAGTGAGAGCCTGGGGGAAGAAGAACGCTTTGGGGAGCGGCTGGTGGAAAATGAGGGTCTCCACAGGGCCTCCCTGGGTCATCCAGCCTGAGGGAGTACAGCACTTCTGGTATAAAGGAAATTAGACTTCTAGGTAGAAAAATCTTGGTTTTCTTTTACTTTAACTGGATTACATGTTATACACTGAATTATATACTGTAATTATATTTTATAATTTAATTGATTCAAGGATTCTAAAAGCATTTTTGCTTACCTCAAAGTCAGCTGAGGAGGCAAAAAGTGCTTACTTTTATTCTCCAATAAATAATTTAGAATCTCAAATTAATAGTAGTATTTTAATCAGGCCAACAATGGGATTGAATATTTAGTTTATTTCCATTATTTCTTTTAAATTAACTTGATTCACTAGTGTAGTTAATTAAGCTAATAAAATTATTACAATAGGCAATTCACTTCATGATTATGACCCTTAGGCCCAATAAACAGGTATAATAAAAAACACCTGCTATTACAGCTATAAGGTCCAACTGCAATATGCTCTGAATTTAACACACGTATAGCCCATGAAAAGCCTTATAAAAACAACTATTGAAACATTTAAAAGGTACAGCAACCCTTCAGGAATAAGTAGATTAATATATACTAATGAAAGAGATAATCATCCAGCTAGAATTATAAAAAGTGCTAAACTTGAGATTCAGTCAAACGCATTATGTACCTTGATATCTTCAGTTCCTGTAATGGCTTCATTTACTTCTGGTACTGACTGCAGTAAAGGAATCTCCTGGTAGGTGTTTGGAAAGCAGACCAGAGAGCCAAGGACAGTGACAGCCTCTGAGCGAGGCGCCTGCACACACGGAAGAGAAGCACACACATCTTTCTTTTGGTAAGTTAGAAACATTAAACAAATGACACGTTTTATTCTTTATTCTAGATAAAAAATACCAAACTCAGCCAAGTTATTCTCTTCCAGGTGAATATTTAAGCAAAAGAGGTTTGCCTAAATGAAAAAACAAATTTCTAAGGAATGGAAAATATCACTATACTTAGATGTAAGCAAGTGTTGTGGGAACTGATCTGTAGGTTCATTCAGAATTAGAAAGGCCACTGACTCCGTCATGACTGTTTACATTGTTTTAGTGCTAATGTTCTCAACAAAGCAGGGTAAAGGATATCAACTTAATATCATTTTGCTGTTAAGAACAATTAAAGAAAATTCATAGGGAAGTGGAGATGGAGGTAAACTATCAGAAGGCAGAAAGAGAAGACGAACTACCAAATTTCCTGTCTATCACTAAGAACTACTTTATGAAACAACACATAATGAGATACTATATCACTATTATCTAGTGAGATGCTTTTCTCGTTTGCCCCGTGTTAGAATTAGATATACATTTAAAAAGGCATTTCACTAGATTTCAATTCAGCCAACACTAGCACCTATGATTAGCCAAGAATAGGAGACTACACAGGTCTGTCATCAATCTACTCCCCTAACTGTCCATTTATCTGTCTACTATTAGGTAATGATTATAACAATAAAAGCTCACATATAAGGAGTTCTCTCTCTGTGCTAGGCACTGTTCTAAGTGCTGTACAAGCATTTCCTCATACAGTCCCCTCACCAACCCAATGATGTAGGCTATTATTTCCATTTTCCAGTGAGAAAACTGAAGCTCAAAGAAGTTAAGTAGCTTTTCAATGTCATAAAGCTCCTACGTGATGCGCATGGATTTGAACTGAGGCCATCTAGCTCCAGGTCCAGACTGAGCCTATAGTTAAGCACTTGGGCTATAAAATCAAAGAGAGCTTTTCTGCCTCAGAGAGATGGAGCACAGTACATGAAGTAGGGCGGAGAGACAAATAACAGCTATACACAATTCAGTGAAGCACCTGCTAGGAGAGCAACATACTGAGGATAGCATGGGAGCCCGGTCTTTCATTTTCTGCCTAGCTTGGTTCTCATAAGTACAGAGGTATATAAAAGGCAATATAAAGCACAGCAGAGCTATTCTATGGGATGAGGCAAGGATTGGTTCTGCTCAGGATGTTTAGGAAACCTTAAACAAACTGCTGCTAAGAGCCACAGAGGGAAACAGAAGTCAGGCAGGCTGGCAGTGAGTGAAGGAGCCAGCTGAGTAGGCAAGAGGCAGGTGTCCATGAGACGGAAGGCTGAAAGGGTCAGAAGCAGTTGTCCCCAAAGTGTGTTCCACTAGGGCCACAGGGACTGTGAAAGGGCAAAAACAAAGACTCCAGGGAAAAAGACGTTGCAGAGACATTTGGCTAAGCACAATTAAACAGGAGCCTTTAACATGTTATTGTACACTGAATTTCCAAGTGAAGAAGTGTATTTCCCAAAATTATTTGACTATGAACCTGGCTTGCTTTCTTTCCCTTCCCCCAGAGCATCTGGGGAGATTACTGTTCTGAAAGAGACTTTTTGAAATACTTGTCCTGAGGTTAGGAGAGAAAAGTCTGGGATAACAATTCAGATGTGTTCAGGGCTGAACTGAATGCATGTGTCTTTGTGGAGTGCAAAGAAAGAGAAGTGATGACAGAGGTTGAAGCCCTGAGGACGAAGAGACAGACAACAGGAAGAATATCATTACCAACCCACAGAAGTCCTCTTTGTGCCCCTCCCATGATGTCCTCCCCTCCCCCAAAGTAACTACACTCTGCTGTGACACCACAGATCGGTTTTGTCTGGTTTTGCAATTAAATAAATGAAATTAGAGTATACATTCTTTTGTGTCTGACTTCTTTCACTCATTACGTTACGCAACTGATCCTGTGTTTTTACTGTATATAACAATCCATCTTATGCACACACCACAATCTAGCTGTTCCACTGCTGATGGGCATTAGTACTGGCTCTAGGTTTTGGCTGTCACAAGTAACGTTGCTGCACACAAGCTTCTTCTCATCTTTTGGTAACTTGTGCGAGCCATCTGTGCATCCCCCAGCCCCACTGCCTCAGTGGGGCAGACCTACCTACCAGGGGTACTTGAAACTGCTAATTACCTTGTGCTAACTGAAAATTCTGACTGAGCAGGTATGCGCGAGCCCAAACACCTTTCAAACACCTTTCACCAGTTCCTCTACAATTTTAACCTCAAGTTTAAACAAGAAAGTACTATCATTCAGAGTTGTGGTTCCTTCATGTCACTCTTACATTCACATTCTCATTGATATTCTCTCTTTTTAAAAAAACATTTTGGAAGCCTACTTTATTAATTTTGTGTTGATTCCTTTTTTCCAGCTTTACTGAAGTATAATCAATAAAAATTTATATAAAGTATACGCAAGACAATGTTTTGATATACATATACATTGTGAAATGATTACCACAAACAAACAAATTAATATGTCACCTCATATAGTTCCTTTATGTGTGAAGTGTGAACATTTAAGATCTACTCTTAGAAAATTTCAAGTTTATAATATAGTATTATTAACTATAGTGACCACACAGATCTCCAGTACTCATTCATTATGCATAACTGAAACTTTTGATCCCCCGACAAACATCACCCCGTTTCCCCCCACCCCAGCCACAGCCCCTGGGAACCACCATTCTACTCCCTGCTTCCAGGAGTTGGCCCTTTTTAGATTCCCTTTTTAGATTCACATATAAGTGATGCCACACAGTATTTGTCTTTCCGAGTTTGGCTTATTTCATTTAGAAAAATGGTTCGTCCATGTTGCCGCAAATGACAGAATTTCCTTCATTTTTTTAAAGGCTGAATAATATTCCACTGGAGGTATGTACCACATTTCCATTATCCATTCCTCTGTCAATAATTTAAGTTGCTTTCATATCCTGGCTATTGTGAATGCTGCTGCACTGAACGTGACAGTGCAGACATTTCTTACACATACTGATTTCACTTCCTTTGGATACATACCCAGAAGTAGGACTGCTGGGTCACATGGCAGTTCTATTTTAAAATTTTTGGGAAACCTCCATACTGTTTTCGATAATGGCTATACCAATTTAACTTCCTACCAAAAGTGTACAAGGGGATAAAAATGTCTAGAAAAAGTGATATGAGTACCGCACCCAGTACCCAACCATTCACGAATCCACACATTCATGTGCAGTATTTGAAAACAGAATTAAAAATTGATTCGTGGCTGTAACATTTATTCCTATCATACCTCAGGCAGAGAGCTAAGAAAAACGTATATAATACTATGTAACATTGATATATGTGTTAAAGACCAAGCAAATTCAATGCCTTCAAAAAGCTTAAAAGATAAGGTGCTCATGTCCCTTTTACTGTAGTTTCAAAGAACATAACACTTTTTTGCTTTATTGAAAGCTAGTTTTGTATTTTATTCTTTCTGAATTTTTTGAAGCACATTCCCTGTTTGTATTTCAGTACTTCCTTCCCTTCACATTTTCTAATTTGTGTTTTTCCAGGTTCTGGTTATTTTTTGGTTGATATTTATTTTCCTACCTTGGCAACATGTCTTTATGTGAATTTGACCTTTATATTTATCTTTACACCATCTTTGATTTGAGTATTTTGTGTTGATTCTTTTTTCCAGCTTTATTACAGTTTAATAAAAATTTACCTATTTAAAGTATATACAACATAATGTTTTGATATATATACTGATCCATATCAACGTGTTTTTAACTTACGTCTTTGGGGATGTGTTTGTTGTGATGCCAAATCTCATTCTAGTTTTTTCTGTCAGAGGCCTCAAATAAAGAAGAATCATCATTTGGTAAGTGGTGATCACAGAGGGAAGAGACCAACAAATGGAAGTTATATATTGCAATCTGAGCAGTATATAATGAATTCAAATAAAAGTCGGGAATTTTTTTTTTTTTTTTTTGTGCACAAGAGTTCTCTTTCCTCTACACCCTTACCAACACTTAACTTTTGTCTTTTAGGGGAAAGCCATTCTAACAGATGTGAGGTAGTTACCTCCTTGTGATCTTCATTTGCATTTCCCTGGTGATCTTGAGCATTTTTCATATACAGCAGTCCCCTCTTATTTGAAGGGGATACATTCCAACACTCCCTCAGTGGATGCCTGAAACTGTGGATGGTACCAAACGCTATGTATACTATGGTTTTTGCGATATATACATAGCTATGAAAACATTTTAATTGATAAATTATGTACAATAGCAAAGACTTGGAACCAACCAAAATGTCCATCAATAACAGACTGGACGAAGAAAACATGGCACATATACACCATGGAATACTATGCAGCCATAAGAGAAGGATGAGTTCATGTCCTTTGCAGGGACATGGATGAAGCTGGAAACCATCATTCTCAGCAAACTAACACGAGAACAAAAAACCAAAGACAACATATTCTCACTCATAAGTGGGAGCCAAACAATGAGAAAACATGGATACAAGCAGGGGAACATCACACACCGGGGCCTATAGCGGGGTGTGTGACTAGGGGAGGAATAGCATTAGGAAAAACATCTAATGTAGATGACGGATTGATGGGTGTGGCAAACCACCATGGCATGTGTATACCTATGTAACAAACCTGCACATTCTTCACATGTATCCCAGAACTTAAAGAATAATTTTTAAAAAATTAGGCACAGTAAGAGATTAGCAATAACAGCTAATGATAAAATAGAACAATTATAACAATATGACAGCATCACCACTCTTCTGTTTTGGGGCCATCATTACGTAAAATAAAGATTACCTGAACTCAAGCACTGTGATACCACAACAGCCCACCTGATAACAGTTATGGCCACTAAGTGACTAACAGGTAAGGGTAGCAGGTATCACTTAGATCCACTGGACAAAGCAATGATCCATGTCCTGGGCAGGATGGGCCAGGAAGGCTCAAGGTTTCATCATGCTAGAATTACTTCTAGAATCTTCCATTTAATATTTTTGGACCACCACTGATTGTGGTAACTGATATCAGAAAGTAAAACTGAGGATAAAGTGGAGCTACTGTACTATTAGCCAACTGTATGTCTGTAAGGTCACTTTAAACAGCCCATCTAGCCATGCTGGCAGCAAATGACTACCATGTATAATATTATCTCTAGGAAGGCCTCCAACATTTTTACAGGAAACTCTCTTGGCAAATCATGAACACAGTATTGGAAGTTCTGGCCAGGCCAATCAGGGAAGGGAAATAAATAAAGAATATTCAAATAGGAAGACAGGAAGTCAAATTATCTCTGTTTGTACTAACATGAGTGTATATTTAGAAAACCCCAACATCTCAGCTCAAAAACTCCTTGAGCTAATAAGCAACTTCAGCAAAGTCTCAGGATACAAAAACCAATCGACAAAAATCACAAGCATTCCAATACATCAATAATAGACAGGCAGAGTACCAAATAATGAGTGAAGTCTCATCTACAATTGCTACAAAGAGAATAAAATACCTAGGAATACAACTTACAAGAAATGTGAAGGACCTCTTCAAGGAGAACTACAAACCACTGCTCAAGGAAATAAGAGAGGACACAAACAGATGGAAAAACATTCCATGGTCATGGTTAGGAAGAATCAACATTGTGAAAATGGCCATATTGCCCAAAGTAATTTATAGATTCAACGATATTCTCATCAAGCTACCATTGACTTTCTCCACAGAATTAGAAAAAGCTACTTTAAATTTCATATGAAACCAAAAAAGAGCCCAAATAGTCAAGACAATCCTAAACAAAAAGAGCAAAGCTGGAGGCATCACACTACCTGACTTCAAACTATATTACAAGTCTATAGTAACCAAAACAGCTTGGTACTTGTACCAAAACAGATATGTAGACCAATGGAACAGAACAGAGGCCTCAGAAGTAACACCACACATCTACAACCATCTGATCTTTGACAAACCTGACAAAATCAAGCAATGGGGGAAAGGATTCCCTATTTAAGAAACGGGGTGGGGAAAACTGGCTAGCCATATGCAGAAAACTGAAATTAGATCCCTTCCTTACACCTTATATAAAAATTAACTCGACAGATTAAAGATTTAAACCCAAGACCTAAAACCATCAAAACCCCAGAAGAAAACCTAGGCAACACTATTCAAGACATAGGCATGGCAAAGACTTCATGACTAAAACACCAAAAGAAATTGCAACAAAGGCTAAAATTGACAAATGGGATCTAATTGAACTAAAGAGCTTCTGCACAGCTAAAGAAACTATCATCAGAGTAAGGCAACCTACAGAATGGAGAAAATTTTTGCAATCTATCCATCTGACAAAGGGCTAATATCCAGAATCTGCAAGGAATTTAAAGTTACTTAAAAAAAACAAAACAAAACAAACAAACAAACAAACAGAAAAACACAAAAAACCGCATCAGAAAGTGGGCAAAGGACACGAACAGACACTTTTCAAAAGAAGACATTTATATAGCCAAAAAACATGAAAAAAAAAGCTCAACATCACTGGTCATTAGAGAAGTGCAAATCAAAACCACAATGAGATACCATCTCATGCCAGTTAGAATGATGGTCATTAAAAAGTCAGGAAACAGATGCTGGAGAGGATGTGAAGAAACAGAAATGCTTACACTGTTGGTAGGGGTGTAAGTTAGTTTAATCATTGTGGAAGACAGTGTGGCGATTCCTCAAGGATCTAGAACTAGAAATACCATTTGACCAGCAATCCCATTACTGAGTATATTCCCAAAGGATTATAAATCATTCTACTATAAAGACACATGCATACATATGTTTACTGCAGCACTGGTGACGATAGCAAAGACTTGGAACCAACCCAAATGCCCACCAATGATAGCCTGGATAAAGAAAAAGTGGCACATATACACCATGGAATACTATGCAGCCATAAAAAAGGATGAGTCCATGTCCTTTGCAGGGCAAATTTATTTTAAAACAAGGGCTTGAAGTTTGAATTTACCCTGCAAAAGAGAAATAAATAAATTGAAAAAGTAATCACATACCAAACAAGGTTTAGGTTGTTGGATGGCCACACTGACTTCAATACCAATCCTTAGCAAATAGTAAAGCTAATTTTATTTATACCATTTGAAGGGGCAAAAATTACTCTGAATACATAACAGCTTACAGAGCACAAATGGAAAAGGCCCTTTAAATTTGAATGCATAATGGTATTCCCTTGAAAGGCATTAAGATATTGCTCTGGCCATGTACAGTCGCTCACACCTGTCATCCTAACACTTAGGAGGCTGTGGTGCGAGGATCGTTTAAGTCTAGGAGTCTGAGACCAATCTGAGCAACATGGAGAGACTCCAATCTCTACAAAAAATGTAAAAATCACCCAGGCATGGTGGCATGTGCCTGCAGTCCTAACTACTCAGGAGGCTGAGATGGGAAGATCATTTGAGCCCAGGAGTTTGAGGTTACAGTGATAGCATCATTGTACTTCAGCCTGGGTAGAGAATGAATGAGACTCTATCTTTTCAACAACGACAACAACAAAGTAAAGAAAAAGATACTGCCTGAACAGCAGAGGTAAATGTAGACAGTAAAAACAAACTCTTTTTGCAGCTCTTACTGATCATTTAGTCCACTTCTAATTTTTTATTACAAAAATTCTGCCCAAGTATTCCGACATGTTATTAGGAGAATATATATTCACTTCTAGTTAAGATTTTAGTGTTCTAATATTTTAAGAAAGTATTTTCTATGAGACTTATAATAACAAAGACTTAATTTAAAAACAAAAAGAACTCTTACTGCTAATGTACACTTTAAAACTGCGTATTTTAGACATTTATGTCTGTGCCTCCATTTACTGGAAAATGCTAATAAGATTCTAAGAGACAAGTCCTGCTTCTGACTGTGTAAATGTGCTGAAATATTAGTGAGGATATGATTTCTCACACTTTGGCCTTTTGATGAAATGCCTTTCCAATACCAGTGTGTCATTTTATCCTACAATTTCACACATCAGCTGCCAGGGTATCTACCCTGAGAGCCCAGTTTCACATTGCACTAATGAGTCAACACCTGTTAAGAGTGGAGAAATCTGAACCTTGTTAGCGATTGTGAAGCCTCCTGGGAGCTGGAATGCTGAGCATTGTCATACTCACCGTCAACATGTCTGTGCTAAGGACCCTGGCAGCGGCCGGTGATGAAGTCCCCCACCAGCATTGAGAAGCCAGGAAAACCCAGGGAGAAAAAGCGGGGTGGGCAATGCCTTATGATGGTATTCAAGATATCCTGAAAGCGAAGATAAGAAAACACAATTGTAATGTTCAAGAACAAAATTCCAAAGTAGTCAGTTTGTAGTGTTACATATGACCACTGTATAATAATCTAAGAGAACACAGATCACAGAAAATTTTCAGTGAAAGTGATATTGCAAACTGAGTTACTCCAAGGGTTATTGTACCCATTTTAAAGGCGAGAGATTAGAGATACCAAAATGTAAGATGAATTATCCAAAATCTAAATCATCACTCTGAGACTAGACATTTCCTATGTCTTCCGTGTAAAGGTAGGCTCCTTGGACAGGCTACAGGAGTGATGAGGTAAATACATAACTAAAATAACATCACTGGAAAAAAATATATGTCCTGTCTCTGGCTTTCAATTTGCCACAGTTAAAGCACACAGTTACTTTAAAATATCTTAAAGTAGGCAAAGAGATGGAAAATTTCACTCTCAGATAGTTTTATGTGCTAAGAAATGGGAATATGGAGAGTGCTACGGTGATGCTGTAATCAGTGAAATGCTAAAGTCAGGGAGTCAGCATGGCTCTGAGTATAAGTGTGATCTTGCTGCAAGTACAAAGTGCAATAGTAGTAGCCTTTTGCATAGAGTGCAGTGTAAAGAGCATCATCTTCCCCAGACATCTTGTATTCCTATGTCTGTAATGGCCTCTCATTGATGGCTAGATGGCTCCTCACCCCCTCAGCTCTGTTCTGAAGCAGATATCTAATTCCTGCCTGTGGTAAATCCGGGGTCCACCATGGTAAAGCATTCATGCCATCCATGGCCAGGCCACATCTCTGAAGCCATATGTGCAAGAGTGTGTGTGTGTGTGTGTGTGTGTGCGTGTGTGTGTGTGTGTGTGTAATAGGAATTAGTAAGAAAACCACAAACCACAAACTTCTTTTATGCAGCTGTTGGTCATGTACATTAATCAAAACATGCACTGAAGTACAGTCATGTGCCGCTTCATGACGAGGATACCTTCTGAGAAATGTGTTATTAGGCAATTTCATCATCTTGTGAACATCATAGAGTAACTTACACAAACCTAGATGGTAGAGCCTACTACACATCCAGGCTATGTGGTATGGCCTATTGCTCTGAGGCTACAAATGTGCACAGCATGTTACTGTATCGAGTACTGTAGGCAATAGTAACACAATGGAAAGTATTTGCATATCAAGCCACATCTGGACATAGAAAAGGCTGAGTAAAAATATAGCACTATAATCTTACAGGACCACCATCATATATGTAGTCTGCCATGGACTGAAACGTCACCTGACTATACTATAGTTATGTGACTTGCAGTTATACAGTCTATAGTGTCAATATAAGAGTAAGAAGCAAAATCAAAACACATACACACACATAATCCTACTTTATTTTCTTAGATTTCAGTGTGGTTATCTAAAAAATCCTTAAAAATAATCCTGATTTAATTCTATCAATATCATTAGAGCAACGCGGTAGTAACAATGCTAAATTCTAACATGTTAAGTCTGTCATAATAAAAATAACCTCACTTAACAACTTACCTTCTTAAAAAATTTACATGTGTTCACAAAACATTTTTCCTAACGCTCTTTTTTCCTTACATGGGTCTTAGTTTCTACAAATCTTGCCATTTACATTCTTAAAATTACTGTATAATGCTTAATTCAATAGAGTTCACATATGGTAAATAGTTTAACAAGTATTAAAATTTTAGCATTTCAGTAGACTTTTTTCTTACACCAGAAATAAACAGATAAATAGATAGATAAGTAAAAAAGGAAGGAAGGAAGGAAAAAAAAAACATGAACCATGCTTCTTCCAGGTTAATGTTTAAGCCTGCTTTAATCACGTCCTTTGATACACTTTAAGGTCCATATCAGTCAAGGCAAACATTCTAAGGGACCGAGCAGATGGATGCTGCAGTTTAGAAAGTGTGTGGTAAACTCAGGATCCAAGAGTAGAACAAAAGATCCACCTTTTTCATAATTAAGCCTCTGATTAATGCCCTGGGCTCCTCACCACACACCTGTAATTACTCACAGAGGTACTCATTGTGCTGGGCCTTGTCTCGGAATATCAGGCATCAAGCTATCCGGCAGCAGATGGAAGCACATTTCTGTTGACATATGTTGCAATGAAAGGATTCGTGCAAACCTGGCTAGCAAGGTAGCAGAATGCCATGCATTTGAAGATTAATAATGCAAACAACCATGATGTTAACTTTGTTATGTTTGTGTTAATTCCATCTGTTGAGATGTGGAACTAAACCTTGAAGCTTGTGGGCTTTAAAAATCTTTAGTACATACTTGAATCAAATAAGCCATTTTCACCATTGGAATTTAGAGTTTTAATTTAAAAATACTTTCCTAGGCTAAATTTACGGGAATTACGAACTAAATCCTTTAACAAGCTAACACCACAATTTATAAATGAATCCCTTTTGCCTCATAAGATTTGTATGTGTAAAGGCAATGATCTGTAAAATGGGGCATTCAAAAAAATTACTAAGTTGCTATACTGATGCTAAAGACAGCAGATAGACACATAGCTGAGATAAAGTCACATGGCTCTCCCTCTCCCTGGACCTCAGCCAATCACTTCAACGGAACCTGCTACTATGGGCAAGAAGGTTGGAAAGAGAGGGCAAAATAACAGATGGCTAGCCTACCCTACCCTGCCACCCACGTAAGACAGCGCCCTGAGGAGATGCAGCGGCTGTGTGAAGTCGCCAAAGACAGCACGGGGGGAGGGAAAGTTGGGGGTTAAAGAGGGAACTATGTGACCAGTTAGCCAAATTATGGCCATATGCCTGCTTATGTTGCTTCTCTGCACTGAAATGGAACAACTCGAAGACTGTATCTTTGTGATAACATTTTAAAATTAGGAATAACCACGTGGCACTCAAAGAAGAGCAGCTACATATTCCCAATAGAGGGACATCCACAAAATGTTCTACTTATTTCTAACTCAGTAGAATCCTTTCTTCACCTTCCCCACCATAAAGATCACAGTTCTAACAGGAGTCACTGAAGAATAGAATAAAAATCTGAAACCTTCCTTATAGCTTCCAGAACTTTATATATACATGGGACAGGATGATGCTCTCCAGATATCAGTCACTCATGTGCAGCCCGCATGCCTTTTGCCGTCTCCCTGTCCAAAGTGAACCTTTGTCTAATAGATTTTTCAGAATGACTCATGTTTTTATTTCCATAGGTTTTTGGGGAACAGTTGCTGTTTGGTTACATGAGTACGTTCTTTAGTGGTGATTTGTGAGATTTTGGTGCACCCATAACCTGATTTGTAGTCTTTTATCCCTCACCCCCACCCACCCTTTCCCCCAAGTCCTCAAAGTCCACTGTATTATTCTTATGCCTCTGCATACTCAGAGCTTAGCTCCCACTTATGAGTGAGAACATATAATGTTTAGTTTTGCATTCCTGAGTTATTTTGCTTAGAATAATGGTCCAATCATTCTGAAAAACCTAGGTGTATCCTTTCTCATAAGTAAAAAGTAACTCAAATAATACAATGACAGTAACCAATGTGGCTGAATTTTTGCTAAAAATACCATCTTCTGATGAAGTCTCTGGGTCTGAGACCAGCTCTCCTTGTTAAACAGAAGCACAGAATGCAATGACAGGGTGCTGTGAGACAAGTTCTTCTCTCAATTCCATCTGGCCTACCTAAGAGTATCACAAGGACCTGCAGAGAAGAAGAATCACACTACTGTGTGATTCAATACTAATCAGCGCTGCCTCCACTGGGATGGCTAGTGAGAAACAGCCCGGCACTCTGGTGCAGTGAAAAGAACTCTAGAACTGGGGCCATAGCCTTGTGTGACTGTGGGCATATCGCATCATACCTAGAGCGTATGCTTTTCTTCCATAAAATGGAATGATACTCCCTTACGGAGCTGTATCTAACGGGATAGGAGATAAGAACATATGCCTTTGCAAAATGAAAAGAGCCATAAAGAAGTAAATAGAGTAGCAAGTAAATAATTATTTTTTAAAAAGAGAAGAACTCTGAAGGGTTTTGCTTTGTAGAATTTACTTTATAGGTGTAGTGTGTATAATTCAGTGAACTATTATTTTGCTCATCTACAGAAAGAATATTTTAAGATATTTCAAAGGTGGCACAAACAAGCCTCTTAGATCACACATTATCCCAGAAATTTAGAAGCTCCACAAATTAGTGCTTTCAAGCAACACCGTTAGCAAAGCATTACAGCAATTAGTCATAGTGTACATAATTTACAAGACAAATAATGAAAGAAAAACAGGAAAATTATCATTTTAGATTTTCTAGGATTCATTTTTCTAAGTAGTTCTAGAACTTAATACAAACAAGTTCAAGTTAGTATCATAGCAATAACTAGTTTGTTTTTCACACGTTAAACAGACTAAACAATAAACAATATGCTCCATGATATATGGAATCCAAAATAAAATTAGTTTTATTCTTTAAAGTTGAACATATGAAACACAGACAAAGATCTTTCACATGGTTTTGTTCAAGGAAACTAAAATTCACCCTGCAAAATGTTGCAATATAGTGAACAGATCAGCAAACTAGTATTTTTCTCTTCTTCTGGTTAAAAGTCCAAGTGCATACTATATACATTGAGTGTGTAAAGATCACTAAGAGGATAATTGTGAATTTGCAGCTTATCAGAAGATTCTGGTTATGAGAAAGTAACTGGTGAGAACATCTGTCTCTTATCACTGATCTTGCAAAAAAATCAGGTAATTCAAATAGAGGCGTGTTGTTTCCTTTCCTTCAAAGCACAGTTCTATAAACACAAACCATATTCAGCCTGGTAAATGAATCGCTTTAATTGAATGCTATGTACACAGTAACTGGAAAAACCATAAGTGATAAGAAAAACATATGGTGATGGCAACAGAAATCAGTTTATTCATTTTGCATAGTGTTGTTTCTTTAGTTCCCTTATAATTGACCTTTAGAGCGATAAATGTGTAAAATAATTTTGTTTATTATGGCTC